GGAGATGCTCCAAGGGCTGGAGTTACAGAGATGCTCCAGGGATTGCAGCCCCTCTGCTCTGGAGCTGGGCTGGCAGAGCTGGGGGTGCTCACCTGGAGAAGGCTCCAGAAGAGCTCAGAGCCATTCCAGGGCCTGAAGGTGGCTTATAAAATGATGGAAAGTGACTTTTTACACAGGCAGATAATTTAGGACAGGACAGAATAGTTTTACACTAAAAGGAGTGAGGAAGAAGCTCCTCCTTGGGAGAGTGCTGGCACAGGGTGCCCAGAGAAGCTGTGGCTGCCCCATCCCTGGAAGAGCCCAGGGCCTGGTTGTCCCACCTGGGACAGTGAAGTGTGTCCCTGCCCATGTCAGGGTGGAATGGGATGGGCTTTTAGGTCCTTTTCAACCCAAACCATTCCATCATTCCACTTTTATAATCCCACCCCAAGGCAAAATCTCTGCACACAGAGAGTTCAGAGGCTGTTCTTGGCTGGAGCTGAAACCACAGGGCAGTTAATACAGAGTAAATCACTATTTTCATTTAATATTCTGCTGATGGTTCTCAAGGCTGCCTATTTATGTTGAATTGTGCTTCACTTTCAGCAACTCTGACAGCCCCACTCCTGGCTGGGAGAGAGGCTTTCAGCACAAATACAGGTATCTTTCAAGAAATTTAATCACAATTTTCCCTCCAAGACATTTTGGTATAAACAGCCTGGGAGCAGAAAACCACTCCAACACACAAGCAATAACCTGCTCCCTGATGGCTCATTTAAAATGAAGCAGTGTTTAGTTTTATTTCTGCAGTAACACATTTTAGCAGACCTCTTATAAAATATACATACAGGTCCAAGCTGTGCAAAACCTGGATGCTGGATGGGAGGAGCAGCTGGGAAAACCAAGCACCACACCACCAGCAAACAAAACCTCATTTTTGCCCATTAAAGCTTAGGGTGGCCTCTGGGTGCTGGCACATCCCCACAGGGATTGGGTGACACAGGAATGGGTTTGTGCCACCAGCCCAGCCCCAGCTGAGCCAGCTGAGCAGGAAATCCCACATTGAGATTCCCTGGAGTGGGTGCCTGCCCTGCTCAGAGCCTGCTCTGAACACTGAACTCCTCATTTCCTCTGCCCTTGTAAATACACAGCAGGAGCGTTCTACAAACACCCAGGAACATCTTCCTAGTCCCTGTGAAAGCAGAGGGCACGATCCCTGCTTTGCACAAAGAATTGTGATGCAGGGGCATGAATGAAAACACAAATACCCGCAGATGTGAGGAGCTGACTCTGCAAAAGCTGCTTTTGTGC